GGGTCTTTCCCGGTATCCAGGGGGTCTTTCCCGGTATCCCGGGGGTCTCTCCCGCTCCTCCTTCGGCGCCATGAGCCGCCCTCCGAGGGCCCCGGGCGGGCCCGGGGGGGGCGCGGGGAGACCCCCCCGGTGCCGCAGCCCCCTGAGGCGCCCGGCGGTGCCCCCTCTGTCCGGGCAGGGCAAGGACAAGGAGAGGATGAAGGAGGGCAAGGACAAGGACGCCCGGTACACCAACGGGCACCTCTTCACCTCCATCTCCGTGTCGGGCATGACCATGTGCTTCGCCTGCAACAAGAGCATCACGGCCAAGGAGGCCCTCGTGTGCCCCAGTGAGTGCCAGGGGGGGCAGGAGGGGTGGCAGGGGGGGGAGAAAAAGGTTGGGGGGTGCCGGGGGGGGAGATGTGCCAGGGCGGAATGGCCGGGGTGGGTTTGGTGGGGTGGGTTTGGTGGGGTGGGCTTTTTTCGGGTTGGCACTGCCAGGGTGGGTTTGGTGGGGTGGGTTTGCCAGGGCAGAATTGCCAGGGTGGATTTGCTGGGGTGGATTTGCTGGGGTGGTATTTTCAGGTTGGCATTGCCAGGGTAGAATTGCCAGGGTGGGTTTGCCAGGGCAGAATTGCCAGGGTGGGTTTGTTGGGGTGGGTTTGGTGGGGTGGGTTTTTTTCAGGTTGGCATTGCCAGGGCAGAATTGCCAGGATGGATTTGCCAGGGCAGAATTGCCAGGGTGGGTTTGCTGGGGTGGGTTTGCCAGGGCAGAATTGCCAAGGTGGCTTTTCCAGGGTGGGTTTGCTGGGGTGGGTTTTTTTCAGGTTGGCACTGCCAGGATGGGTTTGCTGGGGTGGGTTTGCCAGGGCAGAATTGCCAAGGTGGCTTTTCTAGGGTGGATTTGCTGGGGTGGTATTTTAAGGTTGGCATTGCCAGGGCAGAATTGCCAGGGTGGGTTTGCCAGGGCAGAATTGCCAGGGTGGGTTTTCCAGGGTGGAATCGCCAGGGTGGGTTTGCTGGGGTGGGTTTGCTGGGGTGGGTTTGCTGGGGTGGGTTTTTTTTGGGTTGGCACTGCCAGGGTGGGTTTGCTGGGGTGGGTTTGCCAGGGCAGAATTGCCAGGGTGGCATTGCCAGGGTGGGTTTGCTGGGGTGGGTTTGGTGGGGTGGGTTTGCCAGGGCAGAATTGCCAGGGTGGGTTTGCCAGGGCAGAATCACCAGGGTGGGTTTGCTGGGGTGGGTTTGCCAGGGTGGGTTTGATGGGGTGGTTTTTTTCAGGTTGGCATTGCCAGGGCAGAATTGCCAGGGTGGCTTTTCCAGGGTGGTTTTGCCAGGGTGGCTTTTCCAGGGTGGTTTTGCCAGGGTGGATATTATGGGGTGGCTTTTCCAGG